ATATATATATATATATATATATATTGCTGTGGTGATACTTCCTCGTCACATGACAGCGGTTCGGAGTTCAGATCATAGCCTTGCTGATGAGCTCTGATGAGAGCGAAACTCCATTCTAGCAGTTTCTTCCCTTAGTGCAATCAGGCAGAAAAATTGTTTCATGGCATAAGGGTCGCGAAAGAGAGAATGATATAAGTGTAGCGTCTAATACTTCTTCCAATTTGGGGAGGTGCGAGTGCCACTTTTTACGATGACATTAGTCCGACCATCTATGGATTAGGGATGTCCAGTGATTCACTAATCCTTTTCCGAGGCAAATTCTCATAGGAATTTTTACCTCCGCGTGCTAGTTTTGTCATTCATCACGTGACATCGCGTTTCACTCATTTGGTTTGAAAGGGCCATAAAATCAATACTAAATGCAGGCATCCAAAACCTCCAGCTGGCCTTATAGCCCAGATTATAAACAATAGGTGCTTTGACCACGCTGACCAGAGATTAAGAGCTAAAGATTTTACGACAGGTCAGTTTAAAAAAGTAAAACGTTGCATTCGACCATCAAGATTCCCATGTCATTGCAAATTAGCAGATATCTGACCCAACATCGTTATTCTGTTCTGTCAATGGAAGATTTCGATGCTTCCGAAAGATCCTGTGCGCACACATGGCTTGAAATAGAGGAACATTCAAATGCATCTGATGTTGAACAGGAAAATAATCTGAATGGCCAAGAGATCATGAGTGCTGACCGAAGTGGCACTTCCAAAAATGGTCGTACTGTTCTTCATAACGACAAATTGTCACCCTTAAGCGGAGAAACCAGACCGTTTGTTCCTACGGCGGACCTTATGAACCCTGAGGCAACAGCTCACACAGGTACTGTGAAGTATACCACCAGACTCCGAGCTCTTTCTCCGGATGGAAATATTGTCGAATCTGAAGTAGTACGTAGTTACGGGATGCTAAGCAATACTTTTTTAGGAGTAAATCAGTGCCTTGTTGATGAAACAGACGAGCACCAACTGTGCTTCGAGGGTTTACCAGGTCAAAAAGACAACGACTATCTACCATGTATCAGTTTCCTCACTCATCTCAAGATTTTAAAGGCGGCGGAAAATTCTGAAAGGACAGTGGACAGTCCAACGCAAGAACTTGATCCTGCTGGTCCTGTGATTCCACCTTTGGCGAATGAGACGTCAGTTCAGGCGGATACATTATTGTCCCCTAGAAATGACCCTTTAGGAGTCGATGATCCAACCAAAGTTAGCTACCTACAACAGAGTGACCAGGCCATACACAATGACCCGACACGATACACGCCACAAGAAGTATCACCACGAGAGCAACAAAATACGCAGCAAGAAATGGTGCAGTATTCACGAGAAGAATTGTCAACCAGGACACAAGAAGAAGCTAAGCAAGAAACAGGAGAGCCAAAGCGTGTTTTAATAAGGCAAAAGAGAAGCACACAGCTTTCAGAGGAAGCATCACCAGAGCCAAACTACGGACAGCCAGATCCACACCCCGAACTGCAAGCAACACAGTATCCGTTGCCAGATCTGGAACAAAATTCAAACGGTACAAATGAACAGAAATCTCCTCGTGGGATGCTGGAGGATATAAGTCAACAGCTGTCGGCGACGCTACAGGAAGATCAGCAAACCGGAATACAGGAGGTGCCACATATTACAATTCTGCCACAGAATAGTTCAAAAACGTCACAACAAGGTTTGGAGGATCCTGAAGAGGAACTACAAATGTCAGTAATAGGTGTGAACGAGCAACAAGATGAGCTGAAAGAGGAGATTACGGAACAGGCGCAAAACCAACCGATACATCAAGAATCGCCGCAAGAAGTCGTGGAGGGTTCAAGACACGGCTCATCACAACAACTACAAGGAGAACCAGATCAAAGTACGAAGCAGCCAACAGATGTTCTATTACTAGGGCAGAAATCTGAAGAAGCTTCAGAAAATTCTAGGCAAGAAATGGAGAAGCTGCAAACAAAGCCGGAAATGTTACAAAAAGGAATGCAAGACCTTGAGCAAGGTTCAAGGGAGATAAATGTGCAGGAGCCGCGTCAGGAGTCAGTGGAGGAATTTCAGCAGGTGTTTCAAACACTGCAACCGCAAAATTATGAAAGGACAGAAGAGTCTATGAACGTCATATCGATGGTACAAGAACGTCCAAAAATGTCTGACGAATTATTAAAGAAACCAGAGCCAGATCTACGAAAGCCACACTCCGAACGAGAAGAAGCTCCGGAAGAACTGCAAGTAGAAGAGCGAGGCCTAGAAGTGATGAACAAACTAGGAGTGCAGCAAGACTCAGCAGAAGAAGTGTTCGAAGACCCGCGAAATGAGTTGTCACGAGGAATGCAAAAACAGCTGGAGCAAGATGCAGAGAAATCCGAAAGGGGGAGTTTACAAATCATGAATGAGGTAATACAGCATCTTGACTTAGAGCCTCACTCAGAAAGAAAAGGATCACATGAAGTAATGCAAATTCTAGAGAAAATTTCAAAAGACGAGGAAAGTAAACAGCAAGCAAGTAGAAAAATTGTGGAATATTCAGACAAGAAGGAAAGACAAAAGCATTCTCATGATTCCGAGCAGCTTCACTACCCGCTTGGGAGCGTCAAACCACCTTTGCGCGATGTGAACCAAAAAGACACAACGATGAAGGTGCACGGCATAGAGGATACCAAGAGAAATGTGTGCCATTCTTCAAAAATTACCAACTTATCCAGAAGTTATATTGGAAAGCTACGAGCACTACTGAAAGATGCCTGCAAAGACCTCGGAGATATACAATCGGGCATTGCCCAGCGGGATTTCAGACCGTGTAAACCATTCATAGAACGTGTCGATCAGGTTCCACATATACTGAAGGAGCTCATACCCACACTCGAATATAGTCCTTACGAGAAAGATCTTTGGAAAGCGCGTGACGACATCATACGCACACTCGATGTGACCCGAGACAAACCGGCACTGATTATCTTACGTTTACTTGAATTGGGATTCTACATATTCGAAGTTGGTGCACTGCTGTGTGAAAATATACTTCCACCGAGGTTCGCACACTTGGTGCATGCAATTCTCTCACGCGTACATGTAAGTTTCGCGGTTTCTGCTGATTTAGCAGAAACAGGCTATGGGCTGAAAAACCACTGTTCCCAAAGTTTAACTTTTTCGATAGTCTTACTGCTCAAATTTTATTCTCACCACATTGATAGAATCGTCCCAGGAGTGTAGTTTTGACTAAATTAACATAAAATGTAACCCCCTGAATCAATAAACCGTTCTGGCTCGGGTTCGCATTCCAGGTGATACAACATACTTTCAGGTATTTCTGAAGGATTTCATTGGTCCTTGAATATTTATCGTTCTGTGCAAAATATCTGGGGTATTGATTAGCGCTTTGAGACTTCGCAGTATGGGAGAACTATCGCTAAGCACGCCATTTTTAGCCCAATATCTTTCTGGCGATGATGCGAAAAATATATCCTGGCTATTTTGTCAAGATGGAATAAGTGCCATTTTTGATGGCATATCTATTTTCACGGGTATCCAAACTGGTCTTTTATCGTTGGTTGTTACGGGACCTCTTACGAATATTATCATGGCTCAACTTGATCAGCTGAAGTATTCATACCTGTTTTGTCTAGGTAAGACAGTGTTGGGCCGTTAGAAGACAATATACTAGAAGCGTCACACAATTTAGCAAAACAGTACCAGAAGGTTGTCTTTCAATTTACGTGGTATTACTGACAGTGCAGAAGTTATCATTCCAATAACAAACACTGACAGACGGTATTGCTTTCTTGAACGAATAAATGATATTGACGATTTCTCACTGTGTTTCGTGAAAACTTATTTCTTCTGGCCATATGCATTTCAGTGAGGTCAATTTGTATTCTAGTGCAGGGGCAAATTACCGCATTGTTAACGGCTTTTACTTCTTTGGTTCTCTGGTAACTGACCATGTGATGATGAGATGTGATACCATAGCACCGCTCACTACTGCACCATGATGAACCACACTGTGAACCCCGGATCTGTTCCATTTGTCATATTACTCTGATGACGGTGATGATTACTCTGATATCGTACTCAAATGTATTTATCTCATTGGTGTTCTAAGGTCTAAGCACCTTATACTTGATCATCCTCTCTAAGGATATGGGGTTTTCACCAGGTCCCCAGCTTTTCCGTTTATTTCAACTGTTTATTGGTATAATCTTTCCTTAAGGCTGTCTAATAGTTGTGCACTTGGTGGTGCTATTGCCTTGCTGCAGTCGATGATGATGGCAATAGTGAGCATGATTCTGGTGACGGTGCTAGTGATGTGGTGGGAATTGTGGACTCCACCAATAGGATGCACCCATACTAGATTCGTCACCCTTTTATGGCTACACATTTTTCTCACCATATTCTGCGTGTTCCTCAAGTTGATTTATTTCAACGCAAGCACCATGAAACCTGATCGTTCCACGCTGAGTAACTCTCCACAGAAAGTAAATAAACTTTTTTATAAGTAGCATTGTTATCAGGATTAAAGGCCCAAAGATGTAGTTGTATAGTTATCTCACCTGCTGTATTAAGTTTGCCAAGCGAGCTGCTTGGATAGAGTGCAGTGCTCACTTCTTGGAACACAAGCACTGTAACAACTGTTTTCCCAATACGACTTACTTCCTAGTGTTTCTATGTTTTACTGCCAAAATCGTTTCGGACGTGTGTTCGAGCTTCTTAGCTATCCAAGCACGGTAACCCATGACAAATTTCCCATGGATGTTCATCTGATGTTCGTCCCAGTGGCGTTGCATCGAACTTGGCTAATGTACCCAGGTTGATGACTGGTTTTCCTAATGATACCTCAAACGTTGGTACTGGTCATGGGCAGGAAGAGTTGCGAATATGTCGGAGAAAACTTGCTGGAGCCACCACAGTTGTTGCAGCGGGTCCTCAGGTTCCTCAAGTAATTTCAAGTTATGGACAACGGTCTAGAAGCACGCCCTATCCCCGGAGCCTGAAACCACTAACTGAAAAGTCACCTCCACCTAACAAAAATCACCAAGGACAAAATTCAAAAATTAGCTGAAGTTTTCAGTGTCATATCACACAATGGCTAGATTTATTTCGGTAGGATAAAGGGATTTGACATGGGAAGCTAGAATACTCTTCCCCAAATTTACCCAATCAATAATTACTTCCCATCTCTTTCACGCAGCGCCTTTCGGCGGGTCGTGTGGTACGCCAAATCATCCATGTACCAAAATCATTCGATCCTCTGGTTTCAACTTATTGCAAAGACAGACGGCTGGAACGAATCGAGAATTTTTGCAACTGCCAGATTCGATTGTTGGAGCCAACCCATCCGCGAAGTGAATTTTGTCCACCTGACTGCCGAACACTTGAAGTCAATTTTGATCCCGTGCGTGGTAAACATGTGGGGTTTCTAGATTTGCTGAATCGATGCGTGCATCCAAAGCGCTGTGTTGCACGTATTGCAACCACAGTTTTGCGCCGAGCAAATGGTACAGAATCGGAGATACGAGGTCACGAACTAATGCAAGCTAGCCAACCTAGACCTCGCCTGCTAGAAGTCAGAGCAGATATTTGTGCTGGACCACGGCAACATTTGGCCGGAATGAGAGGTGCAACAGAGTCTGAAGTATTATCCAAATCCGCTTTCGTCTAACTTTTGCTTACTTATTGAAAGCCTAAATTCCCAATAGCATGATTTGCATAGCTGGACACATTTTTGCATGGACTTTCATTTCTTCTTCTTGTTTGAACGGAATGAATGCAAATTTTGAGTTTGTCGGCCACTAACCTTACCTTTGTTTGTTCGGGTAGCCTTCCATCCAATCAATTATATTGGCCGTTGGCGTGAAGTGATATCTGTAGACAGAAAGGGTTTAGTAAAAACATTTACTATCGGGCTTCATACAAGGAAAGAGTATCAACCAACTAAAAGCTTGTCTAGTCATTGGCCTTGGTCACAGCAATCACTAGATCTGGCTTGAAGTTCTCCAGAATGCAGCTTCCATGAGATAGATTTGGACGTTCGAAGAGTTTGTGACCGATTGCAGAGAAACAAAGCCCAACGAGAGATCTATCAACCATCTACCACAGTTGTGCAGAATGAAGTAAAGGAAGCTTTTTAGGATAAGTGCATCAGTCAGCTATGGAACCTTTAGTGAACGACCGATGATACTCATTTACCCCTTCTAAATATGACAGAACGTTCAACCGACTACTCAACTGTACAAGAGCTTAAAAAACAAGGTCTTACTAATCTGGGAGGGTAGAAATCCCAACCTGACCAAAGTTCACAGAATCCCTCTTATACAACTATGGTAGCAATAGCCCATCCACATAGGCTGACGGATAGCGCAAACGACGTTCAAGAGGGTCCATCAAGTGGACCAAACCAGACGAACTAGATCTTAGGCTGGACTCAAGTTCATGTAGGTTACCCCATCGGCCTAACACTTTGTCACCCACTCTAACACACAAAATCTCTCGTTCGATACCTAACAGAGATTTAGCTTGACTTAACTGATTGGTTCTCTTTACGCCCTAAATTTTGACCAATCCCGTAACCTCACTTGGCCTGACGAAGGTTTCGTGTCAAGAGCGAAACGTCTGCCAGAGATAGATTTACTGATTGTTACCAAACTTTTCCGAAAAAGGCCTGACCAATTGTGTTCCCTGAACATTATAATCAGATTGAGTAAAACGGACATCAGCCGGTCGTTTTGTTAGTCAGTCTGTGGCTGGTAATGCAATTGGATTTGCTACACTTTTTCTTTACGGAGGAAATCTTACGTGTGTGCTGTCATCCCACCCAACCTTCTTCCAGGGATTTTTTCGGAAGGTCCGGATTACATCCGGATTACTCCCGTGGCTAACCAAGCAGTATATTAGCCCTCGTACTTACTTTGGGTGGTATGGCAGGTATTAACTGAAATTGTTAGAGCTGAGCTATTTAGTATTATTATGTTATTACTATTATTTAAGCCGTTAGGCTGCTTCTCCCAACTACTACTAGTAACATTACTATCAACGTTAGCAGTAGTGTCATCATCATAACTTCAACTGAAATCGCGGAGCAGTCTAAAAACTTTCCATCGTAAAAAGTAAAGATGTGGCCCACTAATAATCGTGAGATTGATGTCGCCAGCCGACTTCTGTAAATCTCCAACCGCGTATCAGAATACACGGTGTAATCCACAACCATGAGGATGAGGGGCTCTTCATCATTCAGGTTTCGCAACCCTGCTTTTCTACCGGGTTGTTACGTTACGGTGGCAACTGCACTCATTCAGCTAGGGGACTGAGGACAAGATGACTTTTGGAAAACAGTGGGACGCAAGTGTCTCTTAAGAGGTCAACCGCTCGCCTAGTTTTCTACTAAGATTCAATCTAGTGCAGACTGCACTGTTAACGTCTGCAATGTTGCAATATACTAATGATGAAATTTTTGAGGATGCTGAGGGTGCAACTTTGTCTGTATGGTTTGCTGTGCCTGCTGAAGTACTCAGGAACAATAACAGTTTCGAGGACAGTGGGCTAATTTCCGAAACGAAAGTCTTCGCTTTTTGAAACAGGTTTCATAACCGCATCGTGACATGGCTGTTATTTAGATTACTGGCTCACAGTGTATAGTATGTGATACAAAAAGAGAAGGAAACTTGTTATATACTGATACCCAGAGCTTTCTACAATAAGACCTATTGTGGATGTGGTTAGTGAGCATCTAGATAGAAGTCGCCTAGACAAATGTCTAATAGAAGTTGTTAAGAGATAGTGACGATTTAAAAGACCGGTATATTCCATGCCACAACATGTGAAATGTGACAAAATGGAACAGAGCTCATAACACGATGTATACGATCAATGTGTTGCCGCCGTGGGTGTTTTCTGTGGTTAAAATCTATGTTTTCGTTCTTCTTTCTTTGAAATATGTGGTGTGATTGGCAGGACAAAAGCTAACAGCACCTAGATCGTCGAAATAGTTGTCCATTATACGATCCGTTTCTTTTTTCCTAAAAGTATGCTTTTGATTTTCTACTCAGAGAAATGGAAGGTGCGTAGGGTGCTGAATATATCGTAGGGCTCACTGGCAAGTAAAAGCGTTGAAGAGGACAAGTAAAGGTGGAAAACTGAGGAAAAGGAAGGGGATCAGAAAGTAAAGAATGCCGGAAGGTTATCTTAGTTGATCTATTTGGTTGGCCCACGTTGTCCACTTTCGAAAAAAAGGGGGCGGTAGTTAGTGCGGTAATCACAGAGGGGTCAACCTGACCCCAGTTGTAACAAGACTGTTGATGTCACTCGTGCTTCGGCTCCAAACGGTGGTCCGTGAATTTTCCTAAAAGTATGCTTTTGATTTTCTACTCAGAGAAATGGAAGGTGCGTAGGGTGCTGAATATATCGTAGGGCTCACTGGCAAGTAAAAGCGTTGAAGAGGACAAGTAAAGGTGGAAAACTGAGGAAAAGGAAGGGGATCAGAAAGTAAAGAATGCCGGAAGGTTATCTTAGTTGATCTATTTGGTTGGCCCACGTTGTCCACTTTCGAAAAAAAGGGGGCGGTAGTTAGTGCGGTAATCACAGAGGGGTCAACCTGACCCCAGTTGTAACAAGACTGTTGATGTCACTCGTGCTTCGGCTCCAAAGGTCCGTCCGTGAATCACTGACTCGAGAGCAGCAGGCGGGATTCTGCTCTGGTAGAGATCCCGTTGACCAAATCGTCACACTCCGCCATGAGCCAGGAAAACGAATACGTATAAACGACCCATAACTTTCAGTCAATTGGAAAAAGTTTGGAGCCGTTTTCCAAGGGCCTAACAGACGATCGGTAGTTTTCAACTGAGCTTTGATAACACAAGTAGCTTAGATCTAAACTATACTTAACCTCAGCTACCTCACCGTCCCCAAATAAACTGTCGCAGCAATTACGAGCCCACACAGACCAATAAAACCTACCAGTGGTAGCCAAGGCGAATCATCAACTGAAGCATCTTGAAGACTGGAGAAATAACATCGACCAAAAAAGCAAGTTGAAAATTTCCCAACCCATCAAGATTTAGGCAACCACACATTGTCACACACCGACTCGGCTTAGCTACGACCGCTCTCCAATAGGCTCGCCAGTTCCTCACCCTCAATCATATTCACAGATGCTTGCTATTTCCCAACCCATCAAGATTTAGGCAACCACACATTGTCACACACCGACTCGGCTTAGCTACGACCGCTCTCCAATAGGCTCGCCAGTTCCTCACCCTCAATCATATTCACACTGTGATGCTTGCTGATTTCCACCTATTCAGCCATCAGCAGCTATCGGGTGAATCGCAGTCCCCGTCTTAAGACGTCTACATTCTCCAGATCTGCCCTGTGTCCAGTGCACGTTGCGCCATCACCGAGTCTTTGACCACGGCTACTTCCACATCCGGATTCGAATGTGTGCCTCACCTTGGTTCGACGATTCAACAAACCTTGTTCCGTGGGGGACTTAGTGGGTTTCAGTTTAACTAGTGCAGTATAATATCAAGTACTCTAATAATAAATTCCTACGGATATTTATATTCCTTTGCGCGGTTTGGAGGACAAACACAATGGAACTTTTTTCTCATATATTTTTCGTATACACAACTTCTAAAAGTACTTTTAGAGCATAGATAGCTCATATGTGTAGAGGGGAGAAAGGAAATCGAGGGGCCTAAAAGAAATGTGACAATAAGGTAGCAATTATCTTGAAAGAACTTGGCATGGTTTGAAATACAATTACAGTCTGTGACATGGTAAGTCCAGACACCTAGCCATATTTCCAAATATAACCTATTTCATCTAGCTACATCCATTTTGGGCTTTTGCACACCTGAGCTGGAGTGCTGCACGTGACAACGATTGATTGCCAACGTATTCAAACGCATCAGTTTTTAGTGCACTAACCTACAGCACTAAACAAATATGTTACGGCGTCGCATTCAACTACAAGAATTATCGAAAACCGTAATGGAAAATCGAGATTTCATGGAATATGCGACAGGCGGATCTACCTTTGGGGACGGAATAACTCAACTACACCTACCATCAGACATCAGATTTTACCTGTCCGAAAACTGCAGTACCAGACATGATCCATGCCGAATCCGGAAGTCTCATGGAAGCGCGTCAGTTGGAGATCATTCTCTCTTCAAATCTATCCAGTCAGGTTCGATAAAGATGATGGATCAGCGGCGACAGCCGACTTCTTCACCAGGTGATACCAAAGTCAGGAATTTACGGCGTAAAAGCTGTAGTAATCCATTTTAGTGATAATTTTGATTTCGTATACAAATTCTCTCCACACCAGAAAGATTGCAGAATGTTTGGATTTTCTATTATAAGTTTTTGTCCATTAAGTTAAACAAACGCTTTTCGGTCTCAGTTCCTGGGTTGACGCCAAACGCGCAGATAAGCCTAGAGCAGAGGCGACAGACAGTCAAATCGGCCCCTATAACGCAGGGGTTTTGTGACTACGCCCAAGGTGCTTCACAACATGAGTCTAAGTAGCGTTAACCGGACATATGCAGGGAAGACCATCTGGAATTCGATTCAAGTATTTCCTATTGGACAGATCAAGCCATGGTTTGTCCCCTAGTTCACATTGTGCTCTCTGAGACAGATGGCCCTCCAAGTCTAGGCCTCATCCGGTTACGCAGTTTGCACTCCTCTCGCAGAATATCCTAATGGACAAGTATGGATGAGTTATCTAACAAACTATCCCATGCGCTGATGAGTCATTTAGACAAAAATTGTCATTCATTTGAGGGTGACAAGAGTACGATTTTCGTTAGAAAATTGATAGGATCTTCACCAGCTTTTCCGTCAGCG